TTGCTTCGCAATACGAGTCAGTGAATAAAACATACATCCACATGAGATATCTCTCCGTATTTGTAAAATCAACAAATGAAACAGTCGAAGCAACGGAAATGGCATTGACAGGAACCGAACCCGCTCCCGCTGCGAGCGACTGACGGCCGCTGAATAATTGAGAACAAAAGGTCGAGCCTGGAAAAGCCGGCGGGTTTCAATGGATGTGCTTTCATCAACTTTAAAAGCTTTTTTTATAGAAAACAAATGTAGAGTCGATACCATATCAGACTATACGTTTTTGTTGCAAAATAACACCTCATAACTACATAAGCTGCCCTGTTGTTGTTATTATTGATGTGTTTTCATCTATAAGATGATCCTATGATCCTACTGATACATTTACGTACTATAGATTTTACGTAGATCACAACACAACAATTTAAAACAATTAGAACCTAAAGTTACATGTAAATTGCTCGAAATACGAATTGAAACTTATATTCTGCGTGTATTTCTTTATTTTTTTCATTCCATGTTAGTAGATTTTGATAGTCTATCATTAAAATCACCGTAAACGATAGCCCTGACCGGTCTAAATTGGGCGATCACAGTTAGCGTCAAGATGACCATGGTCACTGATTTTACTTTGACTTATAGTCAAAGCAAGATCGTGCAGCCCAGTATGATATATTTATGTGGCCCAACTCTGTATTGTCGGCATTTCAGCGCTGGTAGGGTTGCCATCCGTCCGGGTTTCCCCGGACTTGTCCTAGTTTAGAGGGCGTCCTGTGAGCCTCCGAGCGAGTTTATATTTATAGTCTGGGCTTAAAAATTTCCAAACTTAGGCCGATACCTGGCGACTCTACTAAGTTTAAAAAAATCAGGTTCTGGGCTCCAAAATAGGAATTTTCATGCGTCTTGTCCTGGTTACCAAATGTTACAGATGGCAACCCTTGTCCCGGGTGACCACAATGGCGGCAAATTGCTCAAAGCGATCCGCTTTATTATATACCGTAATGTTGGCTTCGCTGGACGTACAAATGTAGATGTGATTACCTACTTGAGGATATCATTGTTAGGGATAAGTGCCTAGATACCTAGATCTAATTGGATCTAATGCTTCTATGACAACCATTATTATTCTTTTGAATTTAACAACTACACAAAGATATTTAAACGGTTTTTTTACAGCATTACTCAGCAAATGTAAATCAAATAAAATATATTTATTTTGCGAACATGGGTATTACTAATGGAGTGTTTTTCAATTTAAAATTTGAAACATTGTCTCCTGCCCAAAAAAACTTACTCCGTATGTATTATTTAAACTTAACAATGTTTTTACAGCCATTTAGGTAATGTGCCATCATCATCATCATCATCACCATTTCAGCCACAATGATTTCCAGATAGGCCGGTTGCGGCCTGCATACAGCGCCTTCCAGCTAATTTTAATTATGTATGTATAATAAATTAACGTGTGCTTGTTGTTTATTTATTTACCTATTCGTACCGTTTGATATTAAAATACTTAGGATGGATTTCACGGAAATCCTGTTTAGTTTGATTTTACTCAGAATTCTGCTCTAATAAAATTCTTACACCTTTTCAAAGGAAAGATGGTCAAAACTTATCCCGGGTCGCGAAGTTTGCGCAAAGTTTGATTAGTAACGTCTCCTTAGTTTGCCGGGTCTAGTTTATATTTCATAACTTGTATAAATATAATTTTCATCTAAAATATTATTCTCTGGTGAGAGGGTAAGTAAGTTTAATTCGTTGGCTTTAGAAGTTTTTTACATTGGTTTTAAGTTAAATTAAATAATTATAGTTCGTGATAAAGGTTACCTATGTTGAAGTTCATCTGGTAGGGTACATTCTCGCCTACTTAAAAGCTGGTCTGCAGGCCTAATGTCAACTGCCTCAAAAGTCAAAATATTCCTCAAGTCTTTAATTTTATAACAAAAAATAACAACTAACCCAAGATTCGTTACTTTAGGTAATATCTAGGTAAAGAACTTTATTTATTATGAAATGTATGATTTTGTATATTTATGTTAATAAAATGGCTATATTTGTACTATTGTTCATACCATTCCCACCTTCCCCAGCTGTAAGAATTCAAGAGTTTGTTCAGCTTCCAAAGTTCGGAGACTGGTTCCGTGCACTAAACAGACGGATCTGAAGTAACACAGTGCGAGTTCCGAGGCCGAGTTCCGTGACCCGAGGTTCCTGGCCAATGTTCCGAGTCCCGATGCCTGAGGGTGAGTCCTAGCGCCTGAGTTCCGAAGGCCGAGTTCCGAGTCCGAGGTGCCGACTGAATGTGCTTAGTTCCTCTACGGGGCCGAGTTCCAAGTCGAAGTTCTGCGGAACAGTAGCAGAGTCTGGATTCCCAGCTGTTTCGTGTTGTCCTGTTCCTGTATAAACCATCCATGTCTATTTGATTCCCAATTTTTATTGTGTTATTATAGTTAGGTACCAAAACTGAATAAAGTAGGCTAGGCGCCCATGACTTTGTCAGTAAAATACAAGTTTTTACCTTGCGGTGGCACTATTTTTTTCTAATTTATTAAGATAAAAATGCTTACATGCTGCTATTTTGGAAATATTAGTATATAAACTTAGAGATATTGTAACGTAATGACTCTACATATTCAAAATATACTACTTTCCTAAGTATGAACTGGTCCGGGTGAATTTACACATCAATATTTTAAAATGTTGACATTTGGCACGGTCATATGGCCTGCAGATCTTTTTTTTGCGTGGACGAGATGAGTTATCTTAATCCTCAGTCTGTTACGGTGAACATATGGTGCTCGTTTTAAATCTAGTTGGTTTAATGATGTTGTTTGTATGAAAAATGCTTCCAAATGGCGAAACTTAGGTGATTTAGGGTTCCACAACTAAACTTTATTGAATAAAAATATTACAGTTGTCTATTTTTAACAACAACAGTGTATCGAAGTTTTGAAAAGGAGCTGTTTCGAAGTATCTCGAATAATAGAGCTGCGCAAGTTTGATTACCTAGTTCCTTCCTTGTTTGCGGTTATAGCACAACTCTGCTGTTTCAGTTGTTTGCCTTTTGAGAACTGTTGAAGCGAAGAAAAGGGCTGAAGTACGTCGTTATAACTTAACCCTTTTTGCAGAATAGTTAGTTACTTCGATAAGTATGAAATCTTAGGCTGGGTTGCACCATATTATTTTGACTGTTACAAACGTCATAATTCTGCCAAACTCCATACAAAAATCACCGGTTATCGTTATAGTTACCGTCAAAGTTTGGTGTTGCAACTCAGCCTAAATAATTGATTTTAGATTTTAATTTCAATTTAATATTTTCTTGATGTTATTTACGCATCATTGCATGGGCATACCCATGTTTTGCTCCGGGGCCAACTTTTGGCTCGGCTCGGGGCAGTCTGTTACAGGGGGTTGCCCCCATCAGTTTTTTTAGGTAGGGTATCCCCACTCTTAGGTACATAAGAACAATAATAAGGTAGGTAGGTACGTATGTAGAGCTTTGGCAACTGAATACACATTAGCGAGATAGCCTATTGTCACATTCTTCAACACAGGATGTGTACATACCATAAGCTCTCTGCGAAAGGGTGAATCAATGAAACAGGCTATAAAATTTGTATTTTTATTATTTTTTATCAATATTATTTACAAATCTAATCACATCCGTCTTTATCTAAAATAAAATCATTAGTTTAGGACAAGAAGTTCTAAATAAAACTATTCATCACACATCTTTATTATCTGAGCAAGTTATAATACTATTGTAATTTATGCACATCTAAAACTGATAAAATATTATACAATATTTAAAAATCTAACCAAAATTTGTTTCATGTATAACAAATACAAAAAATATGTTGAATCTGTAATCAATGAGATCATTTTTAAGAACGATAAATGTCTTAACATGAGGGATGTGCATATTAACAATCTGTCCAAATTAATACGAGAAAGGGTTACTCCAATTACAGTGTCCGTATTTTCAGATCTGTCTGTCTCTCTCACTCAAAGCGAGGCATGAGTAACAGCAGCAGTTAAATCCGAAAATACGGACACGGCGTTTAGTAATAGGCCCGCAGATCTATAAAAAATTTGGGGGGAATCTTGGGACACTGTCAGCATAAAAATTAGAAAGAAATTCTTTCAATACTGATTATATTTCTATATTTTAGAACTACAAAAATAAGAAATACCCACAAATTTTGGGGTTTGGAAGGCCTAATGAGGATATGAGTAATATCAGACTGTCTAACTTGGAATGTCACAGTATTATTTACAGTAGGTACAACTTTACAGGCCAAGAGTAACTATCACTATACGTATTGTATATCACTATCTACTTCATAAATTGTTCGAAGGCACATTTTTGTTTAGAGAACATCCTAATTTTTAATTCAACGTTAGGTTGAAGCAGAGTAAATACAAATGAGTAGGTCATCTTCATAGAAACGCCCGAGCGCGGTTTGTATGACAAAATTTAGCGTGGGTTAGCGGTGAGGTGCGTTTCTATGAAGATGACCTACTCATTTGTATTTACTCTGGTTGAAGTTACTTCTAGTGTAAACTGCATCTACTCTATTGCGGGAAATATTTACACGAAGTGACAAGTATTTGAGGTCTTTTTTTGGTTAAAATCACATCTAGTATGATACTGAAAATATACTTTCTTATTATCTACACTCCGCTATGGCCGCGTTGTCGATACAACACTACTGTACAGTGGGTACATCACTAGTCTCGCTCGCCAGACCAAATGCAAAACCGTTATCATTAATATTTGGTTTCTATTACGATAAAATATAATCTAAATGTGAGGCTGGGTTTCGTGAAAAATGCACTGTGTAATATAAAAAAGTCAAAATACAACTTAGTTCATTTTCCTTAGCACTAGGTGGCGCTTCATATAACCACGTGACATATCACGTGAACTACAAAACCGTTTAAATTCAAATTTTTGAATTAGGTATTCAGGAAAAATGTTTTTCTACGAGTATAACACAGTGCAAAGTTCACATCACCCAGCCGGGGTAACTATTCCGTGTGCGAGCGAGAAGGATGCGTTCCCGGGCGCGTGCGACAGAGACGCCGCGCCGGGGAGGGGGGAGTGAAGCGCGCGCGGGCCCGCGGCCGCTCAGTAGCGCGGCGCCACCCGCGGCGACGACAGTCGCGGCGAGCGGAGCGGGGAGCGGCGCGCCACCTGACGGGTACAAACATAGATAACGTAAGACTTTTCCTCGGGCTATGACTGCAGGCGTATAGTTCCAAAATACTGGACTGTCCTGTCGATGACATTGACAGTGGGGCGCCACCGTCAATACCGGATCGCTGGTTCAGATTTTTGTCATGTTGGAAACCATATAGTTGAACGATGGTAGCGCCCCCCTGTCATTGAGTTTGGCGGGACAGTTCAGCGTGGGTCATCTATAGTGCGAGTTTAAAACTTCATACGCATTCGATGTCGTCTAAAAAGTGACATTAAATGTATGACGCCCCTAGCGGAATCTTTCAAGAACTAAAATCATTTTTTTTAAACGCGCTCGCTAGTGACGATGATGACGTTTGATGTAAACTCACACTAAGCCCTCAGTTTCTACGCTAGCTTACTTTGGGCTATGGCTTTCTTTAGACTAGCTTATCTCGGGCTATAGCTTAAGTTTCCACGCTAGCTTACTTCAGGCTGTAGCTTCAGTCTCCACGCTAGCTTATGTCAGGCTAAAGCGTCCAATCTGGGCGCACCATTAGACCTACGCTAACTTACCTCGGGCTATGGCTTTAATCTCTATGGTAGCTTACCTCGGGCTATGGCTTCAGTCTCTATGCTAGCTTACCTGGGGCCAAGGCTTCAGTCTCCACGCTAGCTTACCTCGTGGTATCGGTTCAATCCCCACGCTAGCTTACCTTGGGCTTTGGCTTCAGTCTCTACGCTAGCTTACATCGGGCTATGGCTTCAGTCTTTAAGCTAGCTTACCTCGGGCTAAGGCTTCAGTTTCTACGCTAGCTTATCTCGGGCTAAGGCTTCAGTCTCCACGCTAGCTTACCTAAGGCTAATGCTTCAGTCTCTACGCTAGCTATCTTAGGTTATGGCTTCAGTTTGCACGATAGTTTACCTCGGGCTATGGCTTCAGTTCAGTCGCCACGTTAACTTACCTCAGGCTATATAGCTTCAGACTCTACGCTAGCTTACTTCGGGCTATGGCTTCAGTCGCCTTGCTAGCTTACCTCGGGCTAGAGATTCAGTCTCTACGCTAACTTACCTTGGACTATGGCTTCAGTCTCTACGCTAGCTTACGTCAGGCTATAGTTTCAATCTCTATGCTAACTGAGCTCGGGCTATGGCTTCAGTCTCTACGCTAGCTTACTTCGGGCTTTGCCTTTCTTTACGCTAGCTTACCTCGGTCTATAGCTTCAAACTCGATCTCGACGCTAGCTTACCTCTGGCTTGGGCTTTCTTTAGGCTAGCTTACCTCGGGCTATAGCTTAAGTTTCCACGCTAGCTTACCTCAGGCTGTAGCGTCAGGCTCCACGCTTGCTTATCTCAGGCTAAAGTTTTGGTGCGCCTTGGGTGGACGCACCATTAGACCTACGCTAACTTACCTCGGGCTATGGCTTCAGTATCCATGCTAGCTTACCCGGGGCTATGACTTCAGTCTATACGCTAGCTTTCCTTGGGCTATGACTTCAGTCTCAATCTATGCTAGCTTACCTTGGGGTATGGCTTCATTCGTCAGGCTATAGCTTCCGTCTCTACGCTAGTTTACCTCAGGCTATAGCTTTAAACTCTACGCTAGCTTACCTCGGGCTATGGCTTCAGTCTCTACGCTAGCTTACTATGGGCTATGGATGCAGTCTCTACGCTAGCTTACCTCAGGCTGTGGCTTCAGTCTACACGCTAGCTTACCTCGTGCTATAGGTTCAGTCGCTAGCTAGCCTACCTCGGGCTTCAGTATCAACGCTAGCTTACCTCGGGATACGGCAGTATATTGCTAGCTTACCTCGGGCTGTGGTTTCAATCTCTACCCTAGCCCTAGCTTACATCAGGTAATGGCTTCAGTCTTTACGCTAGCTTACCTCGGGCTATGGCTTCAGTCTCTTGAAGCCGGCGCCATCCTGACCGAGCTTGAGCTCCTCGTATAACGTGGGGTCGACCTCTCGCTGGCTGGGCACGGCAGTACTTGGATTCTGCAAGGTCTCCTGTCTCCACGCTGTGCTATTCGAAACGCCATTCGCTACACCGTTTCCTCCATTCGCGTTCCCGTTTGGAAGTGTTCCCTATAAAATTTTAAGCATTTAGGAACTTTTTACACGCGGGATTTCTTTAATCAGAGAGTTAATGTATCAGAGAGGTTTACAAGGAACTTACATTGACTACGGTGTCTGGATTTGGTTCCCTGAGATAGCTTGGGTTTTCAAACGCAACACCTCCTTGCGCCTTTAACCTAAGATTCTGGAAAAAAAGAAATTCATTTGTACACATTTCAAATTATGCGTCGTTGTTGGGAAGAAATATCTGGAGTAGGTACAGTGGCTTGATTTGTAATGGCCGAGTGCGGACCGATCGATAAAAAGTAGCACGCACAGATGTAGCGCCATCTATGTTCCGTTGTATGAATTAACAGTTTGTCCCGACTCTCGGTATAAAGTAGTTCAGTAAGAAAAGAAGAAGAACCATAGATGGCGCTTTACAAACAGTTGCTTATAAGTAAATAGAGGGCGCTAAATATTGGTTTACAACAGTCGTGTCTTAAATTAAGTGTCTGCTACCCAATTACAGTGATATTTAGTCCAGTACCTTTCTATGCCTGTAGTACAGGGCAGCTGCCAGCAAGATGGCTGCCACTAGTATGAAGGCGACTGCTAAGCCGACCGCCGTGGCGGTGCCGGCTCCGGTCACGGGCGCGGCGGCCGCGCCGTTGTCCTGCCCCGCGGTGGTGAAGATTATGGCTTCACTGAGAGATGATGTGCCTAGGAAAAAAAATTAAAATTACTGTTTTGAACGCCTTTTAACGAATTTTTTTCCTTTCATCCCTAGGGGCTCAATCTGATCTAATAACTGAATTTCCAAAATATGCACTGCTTGTAATGCAATTAGACCCATTTTAAACAACGTAGCGTAACAGTTTTAACTCTACATGTATAGCAGACCAATGTGGGTAGCTCTAAATGGTGTAATTCAATCATTACGGATGCTGCGGACCACTACATAACTTAATTTTAAATCGTGGAGGACCACTATTTTGGTCGGGTCGAAAAGGGAAAGTCAAGGGAAAAGTTACACAGTTACCGAACACTTTTGGAAAGTTATTAGCTAGTGGTTTTAGAAATTGTATATATGTATAAAAAAATCTTCTCTAATCTTTTCTAAAAGCTAACATCGGGAATAGCAACCTCGTAGCGTATTTGGAAAAGTCCAAAAAATTTTCTTTTTTTTACAGAATAGTGAGTTTTATGCTAACGAAAATCTTTCACCAATGTTTCTATTATAAATACGTAAGAGTCATTTCTTAAAACACAAAAACAAGGATATTATTTTATCATCATGCCAGAACAGCGCGGCTACTCGGACTTTTAATGAAAAGTGCATAAATCGTGATACCGAATTGCACATCAGCTGGAATGAAAATGGAGCGTGACTAGAGATGAAACGCGAATGAATTGGAAACATTACAAATTAGCGCAATGAGGATTAACAGTTGGCACCCCTGGCGATTGACAGGACCTTACTCTACAGTGGCGCCATCTTGATGAGTGCAAATGCGATAGTCCTCCTACCACTTTAGCGCTCACAAGTTGGCGCCACTGTCTTCGTTACTAGCGAGTGACAGGACCTTACTCTACAGTGGCGCTAACTGGTGAGCGCTAAAACGATAGCCCTCATTGAGGCACAGGTAAACGTAAAATCTAATGCGACTTACCAATATCGTTGGCGGACTTGACAACGCACTCGTAGCGCTTGTCGTCCTGCAGACCCGTGAGGACTACGCTGGTCTCGCTGGTGTCCAACTTCTCTGGAACCTTGTCGCCGTACGCGCGCCAGAACACGCGGTACAGGTAGACGGTTTGAGGGTTCTTGAGGGGCGGCTCCCAGCTGTGGAAAAAAAGGGTCTTAGCATTCTGTGATCTGAATGTCCTAAATCAACATTTGGCAGCGGTATGCAATCGATGAGACATGATAATCTTTGCTTGTATGGCAACGGGATGCCATTTGGAGGCACAGTTTTGGACGGGGTCAATATAATGCAGTTAACAAGACAGAAGTTCAGGAAGTAGATTGATGGTAAGGGAAGGGAGCAGCGTTGCCAGTTTTTTTTTTCGCCAAGTCGGGACTTTGGTACTTTTTGAGTGAAAATAGCGGGATTCTTCCGTCAAAAGCGGGACATAGTAAAAAAACGTATATAATCAAAGGTTTTCAAATATTTCTCTTTTTATTTGACTTAAAATTACGTTTACGTGACAATAGATAGCAAAAGTAGCCATAGAAAATGTATTTTAACAAAAAAATAATATTTAAAATCAGATTTACTGTATCGTTAAATTCGTCTTTAGAATAAAAAAAGAAAAAAATTAAAAATGTTTTATTCTTTAGAATAATATGGCGTTTCAAACAATAGTCTGGTGAAGTGAGTGTCTCTCTCCGAAAAGCGGGACCGAGCCTGTCCCGCGCGGGACATTTAAATTTGATCAAAAAATCGGGACGTCCCGCCAAAATCGGGACGTCTGGCAACGCTGGAAGGGAGGGAAGAAGGTTTAATTAATAAATAAGTTTCACCTTACTTCAGTTACATATTATTTGGTAGAGCAAGATCAGATCGACTAATGGTTAATTCCAGAGAGAGTGGGTTTTGCAGTCTAGGCTGGCTGCTGATGACTATTGACCTGAGCAGCACCGCATTAAGCGTGGGTCCATGTTGAAACCCCAAGTTTTTGGGCGGGCCGGGCAGCTGTTCCAATTCAGTGCTGAAATGCTGGTGATCCTTAACAGAACCGCATTGGGCGTAGTTGACTGGTGAGCCCTCAAGTTCCTGGGCGGGCCCGGCAGCTTGACGCCGGCGTCTCTAAAGAGTACCCGCGTTGAGAACCCATGTCCCAATCCTAGTGGTTTAATTCTCAAATGCCAATGGCCACTCACCTAAGCAGAACTGCATTAGGCGTGGGTGCCTGGTGAGCCCTCAGGTTCCTGGGCGGTCCAGGTAGCTTGGCGCCGGCGTCTCTGAAGCACGCCAACGCGCGGCGTGCGTGCTGCATTGCGCAGGAGCGCGACACGCCTCCGCCGCGGCAGAGTTCAAGGCACGCGCGTGGCACGCCCCAGGAGGCGCAGCAGCCACGGTGATCTAATTTAAGCAATTAGACGCTTAGAATCAGATTCATACCTCAATCATTTACAATCATTCAGGATTCGAATAAGCATTTTTACACGGCCCTTTTAAATCCTACCCCTACTTCAAGGCACTAACTAATATGAGCCAGTGCTGAAAAGCAGCAGCGTAAGAAACTCTGATTGTAACAAAGGACAGTGAAGTGGTACCGAGTGAGCTGAGCCAGTGCTGAAAAGAAGCAGCGTAAGATACTCGGATTGTAAATAAAGCATACTGAGGTGGTACCGAGATGGGATTGGGAACGTTAGAGTTGTTATGCATCAAGCCACACATAAACCAGCAGTGACGTAAACATTTCGCTTCCCATAGTGTCTTAAATTGTATTTTAGTTTGAATAAATTGACAAAAAATAAAAGACATCCTATTTATAAGCAACTAGCTGACCCGGCGAACTTTGTTCCGCCTTAATGGCAATAAATAAGCAGACTTTTTTTTAATTTCGAACGGGTTAAAAAGTATCCTATGTCCTTCTCCTGGCTCTAAACTACCTCTCGGACAATTTTCAGCTAAATCGGTTCAGCCGTTCTTGAGTTATAAGCGAAGTAACTAACACGACTTTCTTTTATATATATAGATGTCTTGCCTTAGGTATTATACAAAATCTTTTACATTCATAGTAAGTTACCTAGATACTTGTACAAATTAAACCTGCCCATTTCTATTTCAGGGAATCGTTGAGTCAATCTTACCTGAGCCGTCGGCAGCGCACTTCATAAGCTTGTCGAAGTCGTTCATGCACTCGGGCCGGTCCATGATGTTCTCCATGTCCAGACGGAAGTTGCACGCGTCTATGCAGGCCGACGACACGTTCATCTGCGTACAAGTATCAATGAATAAAGGTTCGGTTTGGCGAAAAAGCACAAATTCATCGCCATCATTTTCAAAATACAAACAAAGTCATGCACCTACTTTATCTCGAAATTTCAATGGGAAGACTGAGCCCCGATTATGGTAATTTTTAACGTCTACAATCCAGACGCGCTTCTTCGATTCTGCGATACGATTGGTCGTTCAACAGCGTACGTCAGCTGTTTTGACCAATCGTATTGCAGAATCGGAAACGCGTCTGGATTGGAGACGTTAAAAATTACCGTAATCGGGGCTCCGGTCTCCACGACACAGGGAATCCTAGTGTGGAGTCCAGTGATGCAGTTAATACATACTGTATAAATTGTAATCCATTTTTATTATGAATGTAACAGTAACCAGCTCATGTACTGTAATATTTTTGGACTAAATAAATATCATTTTCATTTTTTTCATCAATAAAAGAATAAGAAGAAGGTTCGGTCAAAACAGCGCTATCACACGCGATCAGCCAGCGTGCAACGATGGCGATCAGACTTAAATGCATTGATCGCCATCGCCGCACGCCGGCTGATCGCGTGTGATAGCGCTGGTTTGGCTGATGAACCTTAAATCAACTAAACAAGGCACTACTTAATGCCGCAGATGTAGCCTGTTAAGATGTAATCCTTAACTTATGTCATTTTTAATTGTATTTTTTTACACAAAAAACACCCAAATAAACCAATACAAACAGACACAAAACATGTTTTTATTATGCATATTGTAAATTAGTATAGATGTGGCCTTGATAACTAGGCTTAAAATACATAAACGATGTTGCTTTTTAGGCTATCACTTCACTGTACATCCAATTAACAGAACGAAATCTAGGTAACTGGAACTGCAAGAATCATGCAACGGTGACAAATACCTACTCCTTTTCTAAGATAGTACCTATACAACTTGCGAAGTTGAATATAATCCTTGCACAAGTTTAATTTCTCTTGGGCCGAGCGTAAGAACTTCCCGACTTTTAGATAGCAGGATCTATTTTAAACAGTCGGAATCCATATTTCATCGAGCTGTATTTAGACGTCTAGAAATACATAGTGATGTGCATTACTGCATTGAAAGCGTAATCGAAATGAAAATTAATAATCAGCTCCCGAATTTATTCTAGGAAATACTTATAGCATTCGGAAGTCTGAATGCTTACTTATAAGTTGGTACCCACGTACTACATAATGTTCTCGAGGGAAATTGAGGCTTGAAATAATTTAGCTACTGAATTTCTTTGTCTTTTTTATCGATAAAATACCAAGACTGTTTAGTACCTACTACATTGTGGCCAAAAAAACAACAATGTTCTTCCGTCAAGTATTTCAAATTCACCCAGCCATTAGGGTTTATGTCCTAAAATACGTTTCCAAAACTACATGCTCTTGATTTATGTGACAAAATATAGAGTTTAATCCTAAGTGCTTCACTAAAGCACACCACATCACTAGAGCTAGGGTCGCTAGGAGCCGTTATTAATTTCGGTTCTTCGTTCCCGCGGCTTTCCTTAAGACGGAATTAATGCGCAGTACGTCTCCTTTGTTTGTGAAATGTTGCCACTATTTATTTATCCCGTGGAACAAGGATTAAATGTGTGTTTTAATATTTATTACTTTTAGCAGGGGACTAGATTTTGATGTAATGTTGTGTGAAGTAGACTACTTATTATGGTGTAATTAATTAATCACGGTAATGTAACGAAGTATTGTATACTTTTTTAATAAACTCCTGTTTACTTACTAGTAATTGTCTACTTTTACAAAAAGTGGCCCTGGAAACGGAACCCTAAAAATAAACCATTCGGAAGGACGTTTTTAAATATTGAACTAATGAAATACCCATCATATAAGAAAAAAATAATGCACCTCCTGCACCTTTCATTGTGTAACTAAGTTGTAAAACTATACAAAAGATTCATTACTTTCCCTTTACTATTATTAAACTCTTGCATAACTCATGCAAAATTGAGTTTTCTGTTCACAAAGCGCGAGTTGGAAGTTTGGAAACTTCGTGAGCCGGCGTCGGACACCGGCGGCGACAACGGGACATAATTGCTGTTCGCGACAACTTTTAAGCGCGATTCAGGTGTTAATGTGTCGCCATCTGTTGGTGATTGTTTGCAAATTTTAAGGTATCATCTTGAGCGTTGAGCGCACATTTTTCATCGAGTGAACTTTTATGGGGAGAGCTAAAGTTATAAGTTTGTCGTATAAGTAGAAAATGCCACCCAGTATTTGCTTTTATTAGCACTGAATAAGATTTACGGGAATTCTTGAGAATCGTACAAAGAACCCCAAACATATGCCTCCAACAATATAGCGCTTTGAATTGTTGTATTGTAGTTGTAGTAATGAAGCCAGTTTTACCATTACTTATGTTGAAAAGCTTTTCACAAAAGCCTTATTTTGCTCTCAATAAAGACAGCTAAGATACCTAGTTAGTTATGAGGTATCTGATAATCGCCAGATGAAAGAAAACTAAGCCGTGCTCATCCTTAGTTGGGGTTACCTGAACATAAACTGGATTTTTCTTATTTGAGAAATTGTGTGATTTTAATTAGAAACATTCTTTAATATGGAATTCTGGTATTATATTGTGTACATTTTTGTAGCTTTTTAGCACTGCCTACTCAATATCTCTGTTTTGCTCAAGGTCAGCTGGTAGAGAATGACGTATGGCATTAAGCTCGCCTTTTTGTACGGAACATTGTTGTGTGTGCAATAAAGTCTTTAAATAAAATAAATAAATAAAAGCTTCTTATATAAAAAAAAAAAAAACTGTCCGACTAAACCATCGGCCGACGAAAAATCAGTGGTCTGCGCCTAGGCTAAATCTTTCACTATAACACTAGATAAAAGTTAGTCACCTGTACACAGCAAGCAGTGACGTTGTGGTGCGGCGCGGTGGGCCTCAGTCTGACAGACACCGGCCGGAGGGTCTTCCCGAACGCGTTCTCCGCGTGGCAGAAGTAGTCGCCTTCACTTAGCTCCGATATCTTCTTGATTATGAGACGCATGGTGTACTTTGTTGGTTCCTAAGAAGAGGGGTTCGAATTAGTATATCGAGTTTCTCCTTGTCGCGTCGACAACAAACCTACACAGTGTGTAAACTCTTTAAAATATCTCAAAATAAATAATCCGCTAATCTGCTTCCTTCTTAGGGACATTACATTATCAGAAAAGACTATTTCGCTTCAGCACAAAGTAATTCTTAATTCGACGGCTTATCAATGTCTTCATGGCTCAGTAGTTAGGGTAGCCAAAAGTCGTGGGTTCAAGTTACACCGTGTGGTCATGGCGCTTGACTTTTGCCGAAATATCGGAGGCTTCCAAATAAGATAAATAATTATTCTCTTGAGTCAATTTATATGTTGTGAAAAATCATCCCCGAGGAACCGTTTTCGGCTTAATAGGATTTATAAATATTTAAATGAAACTAACGAATCCTTGTAAGATGACGGCTGTAATGGCTCCGGCAAACGCTATCGCGGCCTCCATGAATAGCAATGAGCGCCATAATCCAATCTCGTATTAATTGGGAAGGAGGTTTGCGTCAAATATTGAGGGAAGAATAGATTTCCTTAATATTTTAATGAAGAATCAAAATTGCCGATGTATCGCTGTGGATTAAGATGGAAAAGCTAAGAAATAGTATAGTTAGTTGATGGAAAAGATAAGATTGAAGTTGAGGGAAAGCTCTTGAAAACTGCAGCGCGATCAAACATTAATGACCTAATTAGCTTTTTGATGTATCTACATAAAACGTTTCCTTGGTTTGCTCGTTGTAGTCGTGGTTACACAATTTTAAATGCATTTACACAGCTCTTGTATTAATTAACCTAACACAAAAAGAGCAACGGGACTATTACCACCTCTCGTTCCCACCGCTACAACTCCTGTGTAGCCAGGAGCTACAGCTTGACCGCCATAAAAATCCAACCAATGAAGGTCAAGTTTGTCCCGGGGGAAAGTTAAACTGTCATTGGACCCGCAACGAAATTAATCAGAAGAACATAGGAGGAGTTCGAAATTAAGGTTCGACTTCTCTCCATTGCAAAGCGGATTAATTAACCTAGTGTAAATTTTTAGACATAATTGATATCAACCTCAGGGTCAGCCACCAGCTGTATGGAGTAGTTGGGTCCGTCGATGACTGGTGTCCGTTCGGTGGGGTCTCTCCAGAAAGCTATGGTGGGCTTGGGCAGGGCTTCCATCAGGCACCCTGAGATCACGGGGACTTCTCAAAGACAGTTGAGCTGATCTAACAAGCATACTAACCTCAGGGTCAGCCACCAGCTGTATGGAGTAGTTGGGTCCGTCGATGACTGGTGTCCGTCCGGTGGGGTCTCTCCAGAAAGCTATGGTGGGCTTGGGCAGGGCTTCCATCAGGCACCCTGAGATCACGGGGACTTCCCAAAGACAGTTGAGTTGATCTAACAAGCGTACTAACCTCAGGATCAGCTACAAGTTGTATGGAGTAGTTGGGTCCATCGATGACCGGCGTTCTGCCAGTGGGATCTCTCCAGAAAGCTATAGTAGGCTTGGGCAGAGCTTCGACCCGGCACTCCAGGATGACCGAGTCTCCTGCCGCCGCCATGGTAATGCCGGATGCTTGGATTGTGGGCACGTCTGGTGGGAGGATGGAATCGGTTACCAATCGAGAACAAAAATATTTTTTTGACAAATTGTACACATTTGTCAGTAATTTCGACTCGCTAAAGTCGCATGTACCTATCTAGACTGTTTTGTTTTGAGATGAAGCGAAGCGATCACGATATCAAATTTTTTAGGGGTCATGGAAACTTTAAATACTTTTTGAGAAATCAACATTATTATTTCAACTACAGGATGCCCACTGCTGAACAAACTAGGCCTTCCTCAATGAGTTCCAGATTGGCTATTTGTAAGCGGGCTGCATCCTGCAATCTTTATAAAGTCTATGATTAAAGTATTTTTGACAAATGGGATTGTTAAATTTGGTGCATTTGGAAATATATTCTCGGTTAATATTTCTCCCGTGCATTTTTTCGCTTCTAATGCTAAAAAAGTATAGCATTAACTATAATTGACATTGTTTTCAACACTACTCACGTGAGATGTTGATCTTCCTAGCAGCCTGCATGGGGGTCCCGTAGCCGTTGTCCCCGTAACACGCGATCTCGTCCATGTCGCGCGTCACGTTGTGGATTACCGTCACCATGTGCCGCGTCACCTCTTGCCGGACCAGGCGACCTAGGGGACACATAGGATGTTAATGTATCCCATACAAAAGGGTAGACTGGTTACAGTACAGTTGTATTCTCGATGCAGTCAATATGGATAAAAAAATGTAATGAAGGCTTAATAGGTTGCCCAGATTGACTATGGTCAATCAACCAACAGATTCCTAAGGCCCAGAAAAGACGGTGAAACGCAACTGCAACGAAACTGCAACTGCTAGTTACTTTTGAGTTGCATCTGAGTTTCTGCCATAGCATCTGTTAAGATACCACATATGACGCGACCAGTTTGAAACTTTCAGCTTCAGTTTCATTCATAAGAATCATCAGAAAGTTGCAGTTTCGTTGCAGTTGCGTTTCACCGTCTGTTCTGGGCCTAACGGATATCTACATCCTGCCAGAATACAATTCTTGGCAGCCAGATGATTTTAAACTATGACGACGTCACTCGCAGTTAAGCGGTTTTCATGCCATGCAAATGAAAATTGAATTAATTATGTTGGAGATTTCGTCTGCTCGACGAATAGGTAGGGCACGATGATGTCATCAACGTACGACAAAAGAATTAAAAGGGTAAATAAAAAAACTTACTCAAAATGACAAAGACATTCGTAACGAAGAATCAGTTTTTTGGTTGCTAAAGCTCTGAGCTGTATTTTTCCTAAAAATATTGCCATACGTTTAACTTGCTTACCACTTATGTAGAGAGAGATGGTGGGCGTGGGTGTTCCCATGGCGATGCACAGGATCGTCATGCTGGACCCTTCCACCACCAGGTTGACGGGGTTCACGGTGGGGGGCTGCAAAAAACACACAATACAGCCGGGGAACAAAGGGCCTTTATAGGACATAACACACCTATCAACCCGGAAAGGGCTTGTAACCGAGGCGGTCAGTATTCTTTGTACGAAACTCCATACTGCAACGCACACTTATCAGCATCGTAACTTCAATGCCTCGCCTCGCGGTTGACAGCACGCGAAAGGCGATGACAGTTCGCGAAAGGTGATACGGTGCTCTCCGAGTTGAAAAGTCTGCTAGGACGTTTTAATTTAACCAACTGAGGACAACACAATCAAGTTACTCGTTTTTCCTGTTATTTTTGTCTCTGCTACGTGATTTCCTTCAGAGGAAATTATTATTTTATGTTTATGGAAAGCCTGGGTAACAGTATAGATTACGTCATAAGTCTTTAGACTGAAGTACTTATACTACACTACACATGTATATTCATTACAATAAGTCCTAGGTCATTGTTAAAATGGTAGAGCCGTAAAAGGAAATTAATGATAGAGAAATTCTCCTGTATTTTAGAGTTTTTTTTAAATCGGTAGGAGGAGAGTAGGTATCCTCGGTAAATAATTTATATTTGCTACTCTTATTGCTAAAACATCTGCAAAATAAAAGATAATAATATCTCAATCAAGCCGCAACTCAAATGAACCATCTAGAAAGTTTTCTTTTAAAAGACGTCCCAAGTCGGGCTGTAAAGAGTCACTATGTAACGCCAATACCTTGGCCGATGCCTATCGCCTCCGAGATCAAACGAACCATTTGCATTTTTATTCTCCCGGGACTGCAGTCCGCAGATGAGCATTAAGTTCCATTGGGGTCGGAAAACGCCTTCAAATGTAAATCGCAGTAAAACTCGACTTGTTCTTACGGGGTTTGGATTTGGGTCAGGGATGTTAAGGATATGAAGTTTCGGTTACGGATATTAGAATAATATTATACCGGTTTCAGTTACGGATATGAAATCATTTCGGATTATCCGAAAGTTTCAGATAATTTCAATTAGAATTTTAAAATGTAAAATTCAAATAGCAAGATGCTGCGAGACGCACGTGTACTATGACGACACCTATGATAAAGGTAAAACAGGCGGGGATATAAGATGGTGCCAGGTAATGCCAGACAAGTAACAAGCATTAAAAAATATTAAGATTTAGACTCCGTCTTTATCCGAAACTTTTAAATCGGTTTCGGTTACGGATATTTTTTTATTTCGGATATCCGATAGTTTCTGTTACGGTTACGGATATCCATGACATCCCTAATTTGGGTCTAATAAAAGCGTTAACATGCTAAACCTTCTTATAAAAATAAAAGAGCTGTAGAGAATACTGTTTTAGCTAATGAATGTTATGTTACTTTCCCCAGATTTTGGTTTCGTTTCTTTAGTTCAAACTGTGTGGGTGGAACCACGTTTCTCTGAATGAAGATCAAGATTATATTTGTTTAAACTTTTATTTCAAATGTTTGCGGAATTGTGTTTAATATAGGCTTTATTTGAAAATGAAGTTTCCAGTATTTTCTTGCTCGATGACGTATAAAGTTTAGTCACAATAAACCGGATCTATACTTAGTAAAATTAAGGTCTTATATAGTTCATTCAACTTATGATGGTGATTTAGACAGATAAAACGTTTCGTTTTATGATTCTAACTTTCTACGAATAAAAATATTGAGTTGTAAAAATCAATTACTTTTGTGTGTTTTCTTCCTTCCAAAATATCAATTACTAATCTTTCTCAATTGACCTAAACAAGAATTTCTAATTATTTATTAGTTTATTATTTAGAAAAAATTGTGAAAAAATATTAAATGAATTGCTTCTGCGTTAGTCGGAACTTTTGCTCATAGGGATGGGACATAAACAATCGCAATAAATCAGTAATCGGCATGGTGGTCATCTTACCATCGAATCACGATTATTATCTCAGGCAGGTCAAAGCTAAGTCAGTACGTGTGCGTTTGCCTTTGATGACGGTTTTGTTTTATGCGATTTCTCCACGTATTGTTTGTTATTGTTATTTTGATGTTTTATTGAATAAAATGCATATATTTAATTCTTTGTGATTTATTTTGTACCACTAAGAATATTCACGTTTATTCCATTTCCAGATAGTTCAAATTCATAGATATAATTTTGATCAAGATTAAAAATCAAACAAATAAAAGGCGATTAGATTTCTATAGAAAATATTCTCGATTCTAAAAAATATCGATTAGGTTTATAAGGAGCGCCTCACTAAATAGAACTGTCATAATCACCATCTTACGCTGAATGGACAGGCTAGTTGCCTAAAAAAATTTTTTTAGTCCGTAATGTTTAATATTAAAAAATATTGGACACATATAATTTTATTTGTCAATCTAACAAATAATTACATAGTTATGGTGCGTTGAAGTTGCGCACGACGTCACAACGTGCGGCATTTTTAAGCAAGCGTTGACGTCACGGGCCTCTTCTTATGAACTTTGGGGCGCTATATCTCTTTAAATTTTCATTAGTTTGAAAAAGTGAAAAATACGTGTAAAGTATTTTTTGATAAGTTAACTGACGGACTAATTAAAACTCTTGCTTTTTGACCCAGGCAACATCCCCATTAAAACGATGTAAGCTCAATACAAAGAAAACAAAAGACGGTAGCTTAGTAGTTCAATTGGAACCAGTGGATAAAGGATAAAGTATTTAAAAAAATATTCAGTTGGAAAATTTAATATCGATACCCACAAACGAAAGCTTTACTACTTTTAGGGTTTTACCCTAAACTAACGATTTGCTTTTAGTGTAAACCTCTAATTTGTAAGCGACTTAAGAGCCATGTTAACCAACCGATTCCTGCCTCCTTTGGACATCAAACGGTGTATTTGCATTTTTATTCTGCCAGAGCGGTGCCTACAGCGCGGGTTAAGCTTCATCGAGTTCTCACAACGGCTCTAAATGTAAATCGCTATTATGTTGCTTTGAGCCTACTCTAATAAAAACTGGGAAATGCCTATGAATATTTGTAAGCAGCTTTTGAACGTTCTCATTTACATTTTTTATGAATACCATGATGGGGATACGTCATCTAAGAACGTCAGTTGGTTGTTAACTTTTAGAACTTTGCTCAAGGGGGGAAGAGAAATAAAGCTGTAAACCCACCCTACTACGTTATTGTGAGCGTTATTTGTAGGTTTTATAGTAAGCTTATCGTTAAATCCTTGCTAACCCTAACTTTGAATGCCATGTCGATTCGTTAACTTGTAACAAAATCTTCGATCTTTGGCATGTAGGTATTTCTGCTACTTACTTTACAACATACCGTGGCAATGGACACTGGCGTTTTTGTAACAAAAATCCGAATAAAATTGATGTACTACCTACCAGTAGTAAAAAAAGTTAAAAATAACACAGATTTATCTTTGACTCGATTTTAATTTATGCTTTTCAAAATCGCCAGCTTCCATTCAAATTAAACCTTATATTACATTAAACAATAATAGGTATGTTAAACTGAAAAATAACCTTTTCAGGTTTGATTGCGATCAAATACCTTGTTCTGCCACAGGTTCTGCATAAAAAAACTTACAAATTGGCATTTATCACCACGATTAGATTAAAAAACCTTACCTCCACATACGCCGGGTAGGCAGGATCGGTCCATGCCAGCAGAGTCTCCGAAGGCAGGGAATCCCCGGCGTCGGTATGCGCCTTAACCCACACTATGTACTGCGAGTTGGGCACCAGCTTCTCGAGGGTGTATCCTGGGACCGTCACGTTGATGACCGTCACGTTGGCCGCTGCCAGGACCGTGGGCGATTTGAAGTACAATCTGGAGTAGAGAGGAGTTGCTGTATTGTTTTGTTAATGTTCTTTTTAGAGAAAGTTTGGGCCTCGAACAGCTTTGAAAATGTATTCGTTATCCTGTTCGGAATGACGTTTAAATTCAATTCAATCTCAAGTATGTTGTAAGCTTTTGTTTTGATGAATTTCAGGCCTGGTTCAGACAGCGATAATCTCGCGGTTGCTGGGTAGTTCTCGGACATTTGCGTTAAACCGTAACTACATGTTTACCGCATCAGTGCCTGGCCAATGAAAAGAACCACCCAGAAACCGCGCGGTTACCTTTAGAACTCTAAATCTATCTGTTAGATTTATCCAGCCTCTAATGTTAACAGAAAATAATTATCTGGATATTGTTAACAAAACCGACGAAAGGTTACCATTTCCTTCACTGTATTATGTCTAAGGCCTCACGTAATTCTCACTAATACGGGATCTGGCAACACAAACACTTTAAAAAAAGTAAAAACCTTCCCGACGTTTCGACTCGGTTGCACGAGTCACGGTCGCGGGCAGACTGAAGATATGCGGCGTCGTCTGCTCGGGCGCATTGAGTTTTCTTCACCCACCCCCATTTACACAATATTTTCCAAATCCTGTGTTAGTGAGAATTTTGAAATGCAACTTGTAGGCCTAGGATGCGCGCCTCGATAAGCAGTTATCACGCCATTTTATCGATTTTGCCCATACATTTTGACATCGATAAAGTATACCGTTCGCGTTGGGGCAGAAAAGTTCTCGAGTGGCGACCACGGGCTGGAAGACGTAGCGTGGGCAGGCCTCCTACTAGGTGGGCCGACGATCTGGTAAAGGTCGCGGGAAGAACCTGGAGGCGGGCAGCAAAGGACCTGGAAAACCTTGGGGGAGGCCTTTGTTCAGCAGTGTACGTCATTTGGCAGAAACGAACGAAAGTAAGGTAGAGTCCGCTAATTTGGACCAGTTTTTTTCAATCCCATTTTACACATAGTTTTCTTTTGTTTTTGCTAATGTCCATGGTATATAATAAAAGATGCATTATTCAACTTACTATTTCATAAGTATTAATTAACATGATTGTTGTATATTTAGCACAAATCAACAAAGTACGAGTTCAGAGCTTCGGTCCAATTTAGCCAACCGGTTCGATAATTTGTACCACAGGGTTACTAAATTGGATTTCAATAAATTTCAAGCCTATAAAAAAACTATGGCAAAATATTATACGATACATTCTTAACAGATTAGGAAACGAAAAGGAACAATAGTTAATAACATAGATAATCGATATTGTTTTACACGTTATCACGATTTTAAGTACAAGTTTTGTAAATCCAATTATCGTAACGCACACTTGTACCTAATCTACTTTGCCAGTCTTTTGCTTTCATTTATTGTAAGTCAAACATAATTACGCTATTATAACTTCAAAATATGATTTACTAAAAAAAATTTCAAAATCCTTCGGTAAAGTTCCATACAACTTGATGTGGTACAATTTAGCCGACTAGGTGATAGTGCTTTTAAAAAATCGGTAAAAAATATAGCTTATAAATACCGAAAAATGTCTCAAATAACTGTAATCCACACTAATTTACGCTTCTAAATAATATATGAGAAACACCCAGTGATCAAATTTAACAAAATTACAAACTAAACATGCATTGTCAAAAGTTACTTGAAAACAATGAAAAAATACTTTTCAAAATAAAACACACGTGTTCTTTGTCACGGCAAAAACCACATGGCCGATATTAATTGAATTTAGTTGTGTATCGCTGAGTGTTGCAATTACAGACATTCAATAAATACTTTACGAAATATGAGGGTGGTACAATTTACCCGGCGGTACAATATACCGAACTCTCCCCTATATTACGCATCCTAGCCCGGCTGAAAGTTTACAATATTATAAGGACTCACGAGTAGGATATCTTCTCGTCGGGCAGCGAGAACTGCGGCGGCTGCCAGCTCAGCGTCAGCCAGGTGGCGGAGTGCGAGGACACCGCCAGCGAGTGCGGCGGGGACGGGATGCCGTTCACTTCTTTCTCTTCTGTTTTGACAAAAAAACTCATTTTAACCTTTCTTAAAACAGCAAGTTTAAGTTTGAGATTTGAGAGAATCGAGTCTTCTTCCAATAAGGCCACCCTTGGTTCTTCTTTCTATGCGACACTTTGTTGTCCTGTGATCACCTATGGATGAAGAAGTCCACTTTGATGACCTAGATGATTTTGTCCACGGGTAATCAAAGGATACCAAAGTGTCGTCTGGAGTCTACTTTGATCACCTAGGTGATCAAATCCAGGTGATCAAAGTGGAATAGACCCATCCTTGTAAAAGAGCATTGATACGCCTAAGGCGTCTGATTTCACATGTGATGGGTATCGAGTGAGTGACACTGTTGATGTAAATTGCACAACAAAATACGAATATTTTCCCGCTTTGTGGCTTTTCAATGGACTCCATCGCAATAAGTTTCCCGTATAAGTCAGTTTCAAAACGATATCGTAGTAAGTTCTTCACACAAAAATTTACACGAACGTACGTTTGAATTCAAAGCACAATTCAAAGTGTCTCAATGTTTTGTAAAATATTGATCACTTCACTACACACACACACACACACGAGAACAAAATAACACAAGATTTGTGTAAACTTAAGTCAATTGAATAATAAATTAACTAACAGATCGACCATGCTTCCCGCTCAACTACCCTCCATCGAGCCCTTTATTTGTCTTGTTAAGTTCGATTTCGATTGAGCAAATACAGGCTATGGCGTATCTCTCTCGTGAGTTATACACCTCAATAAGTGGTTGTATTTCAGTAATTTGTTACATGGCTTTATTCAGTTATATACTTTTAACAATTCGTAGTTGTACAAGATTTAATAAGCAGTAAAAACTTTGGTAGATTAAAATGAAAAATTCATGAAATTGTTTAAAACATTTCGAGTTTAGCAAAACTTCGACAAATATCCCAAAGTTATTGAAGCATAATTTTAGTGATTCCCTGAATCCAGATTTTAATAAACAAAATTTCTAGCCTATAAATTTTCTATTGAATTCCTCTATTTAATAAAACGTTCTAATCGCCAATTAGTGTCCCGTCTCAACAACTACTAATTAATAAAACTGACAGTTATAGCTATTTTAAATAAAACTGGTAAAACTTTTAATTCTATAAAGTTCATCAGATTTAGTGCCACATTAAAGATAGGTATATTGTTACCACTCAACAAAATAAAAAAGTGAAGAAAATATGATATCACTTTTGAAATGACACAAAAATATTGGATTTTCAACAAATCCATTTTAGATAGAAAATAAGTATAATAAAGCATGTTGAATTTCGGGCCATCCCGTAGATATCTTCTGCCAGATATTGGAATACCTCGAATAATGTCTAATGACGGCCTTTGAATACATAATGATATCACCCAAACGATCAGATTGGGAGCGGACCGAATGTTTCTATACATTTGATTTCAAATTCTCGTCTCTAATAATGAATTTAGAAGATTCCATTATTTTTTTGCATGATTGCTCTTGGTCTAAACTTATTAGAATACGTAATAAGTATTGATTGGAAGTCATTAAAGTAAAAAGTAATAACAACACCGACATTAAGAAAATCTTATTAAAAGAAGTAATTGAATTTAAAAACCTCGACCGATACACAAATTATAATTACGAAATTGTTATTCGATGACTGAATTAATTATTATTTGGATTGTTGTTACTAACCTTTCTGTTGCTAACAGAATTTTCAAATGTGGTTTCTATTATCCTTTCTTATCTTTTAGGTATGCTTATAACACAATACATTGCTATAAAATATAGCTATGCTCCAACCGTGGTCACAAGCAGACTGGCGGCTCGAGGCGTCGTCCGTTCGGGCGGACTTGAATATAATATATCGACTACCCTCATATTGTAATTTGTTACATTATTGAAGTATTTTTCTCCTATGATGATCTCTTTGACAATTCAAGGTTATCCATATTACGCATACTACATTTGCAGAATATTTATCAAAAAATACTTGTAATTTTATTAGCAATATAATAAAAAATAGGCTTGTTGTTTGTTTGTTGACAATATGGGATAGTATTGTGAAAATACTTTAATTCTTAAACTACTGAACAGGATTTGATGAAACTTTACAGCATAATTGTTATATCGGAATAACATATAAAAATAAATAAATTTAATGTAGCTGAGAGTCAGATCTAGAGATATGATGGGTTATTGAGCATTTTGAAACGCAATTTGTTTTTGGCTGTCACCGCATCTTCAGAGCTGTGAATGGGTGCATTGGCCACAGAAAACAAGGTCTTTTCGACTGGTTTCGTTCAGATGAATGTAATTCCAGTAATTTAAACGCAATGGTGAACTTAAATGAATTTTTTACCAGTTTCTAGTGAAGAATTAAGCTATCTGCCCAATTTTTTTTTCAGATTTTTGTAATGGCTAGAAATATCCCATTCTCATTACTTTTTGAAGACCTCTCGTACAAGTAGGTACTCACCGCCTTGTGTGAAGTTGAAGATGATCATGCTGGAAGGTATGGAGGAGCCGTGCTGGTTGGACGCCACCACGAACATTCGGTAGGTGCTGTTGGGAACCAGGCCCCGTAATTCGATCGACTTCTCAGTGGTGTTCATTTGCATTCCCTGTGCCAAGAAAAGACATACATTTTACAAAAATCTTTGGTAATATGACTCTTTCAAATAAGATGTTTTGAGCTGGACGTCAGCCTAGCGTTTGCAAAACACCAATTTTTGGTAAATTGTAATTTATTTTTCAACGCAGTTGTCATCCGTGAATCCGTGTGATGTCCTGCAAACCGCTGACAAACTGCTGACCCACCGACGCGACGTCCACTTCAAAATGATATTTTAATGAGGGTTTTCGCGAATGAAAAATCCGTCAGATGGCAATACGTAGACGCGAGGTCCAAATGCTGCGTGATTGGCATTTTTGACATGACATTGACAGATATGTCAAAATCCACCAATCACGAAGCAGTCAGACCCCACATCCACGTCCCGCCATCTAGCGGATCTTTCATTCGCGAAAACCCTCATTGAAAGAGTCCACAGAGTTACGTAGCTGGCACACTATAAGTTAACTGAGATAATTTGGAAGCTGTCAAAACGAGATTCCACTATAGATGTTGCACGATAAGATAACTTTTCGCCAACTCAATTGACTTATATTTTATTATCTCTAAGTTCAGGGCAGGGTCCGTTGAAGTCGATATGTTCGTGCAGTTGTCTCATGCCCGTTTTTACTATTAATCCATATTTTTTAAGTGACAGGATTTTTTGTTTTCAAATTAGGGATTGATGGTGAAAACGGGCATCAGTGTCAGCTTACCTGTGTCAGCGATGGCAGCGTGTTGGCATTATAAGGCTGAGTTCCGTTGCTGAGTTGCTGCCAGAACACAACGTAGACAGTGCCGTTATCAGCGTCGTCTGGTGCCACCCAATCCAGGGCGAGAGATCCGTTGGAGTCAATGTGGGCGTGCAGTTGTCTTGGTGGTCCAGGTAAGAGGCCAGTTCCTGGTGAATAAATATTAATTCAAGGTTTTGCTTCTTGAGATAAAGTGACGATAATTTTCGAACGTCTCCATGGTATCTCTTCAATGTTTCTGTAAGTTTTGATTTTAATTGAAAACGTTTTAACAATCACAGAATTAAATATTTGAAAAGTGAATGCGACAAGAAAAGCAAACATCCCCGTTTTCCACGAAAATCCAGAAATTATTCTAAAAGTAACTGTCATAGAAGTCCGAATCCTTAATTATCTAGAATCTTCACACCCTCTTCATCCTCAAGACCAGAACCACTTACCCTCTTCAAAGCATTGCACGATGTTGCCGATGTATGGGACACATGTATTGACTCCACCAGAGTATGCGCCCGCGCATACTCCGCGACAATTCTCAGGCACGCCGCGGCGCGCACAGCACGCGGCGTGGTTACGACCTAGGTAATAAAAGGTCGGAAATTAGTTAACCTAGATTTCAGACCTAACTGTACATTATTAGGATGGGTTACACCATCTTACTTTAACTAGGAAAAACGTCAAAAATCTGTCAAACTTCATAAAAAAACACCGGTTATCGTTAGTGTAAAATCTGCGCACGTGACATTGGCGGAACAGTGGCGAAAAAGCACAAGTTCATCGCCATCAATAAAAGAAGAAGAAGAAGTAGAAGTTATAGATACGGTTAAAGTTATGTGGTGCAACGCAGCCTTTGTATACTTTATAGAGGAATTAGTAATGCATTTTAATAGACATATTTTATTAGTTTTAATAAGATTTAATGAAACAAATGCTGTACTCTAAATGAATTTTGTTTGATCAACCACGCGAAAAAAGCAAAGACATGAAATAAAGTTTTTTAACAGCACAAATTAGCTCTTATTTTTAAAATGCGAAATAAGCATGTAGCTTCTCTTTAACTCTTTATTACAAGAGCTCCTGGTTACCAATTTTCTTTTATCAATTCAAAATATACTTTTTCTATTTTATTACCTCCAGCACCACACCGCAGCAGTTTGTGGAAGTCCTGAGCACAGAGCGGAGCCAGCGTCCTCAAATCCGACATCTTGGCATCGTACGTGCAAAGTGGCATACAGACGCCGGCTAACTGTACCCTCTCACAGCACTCTGTGACGTTGTAAGAGTTGGCTGCTTCTTCTTCTTCCTCGATCAACTGTGAAAGAAGAAATCATTAAGAAAAACCTAAGCACCAGCTGATAAATGTAGTCCCGAAGCTTGATTTGGGATGTGCACTCTGGAAATGGTCTAAGTACTGAATAAGTAACTCTGACTTTCACTTTAAGATTTCTCTCTTGTAAAACACAATCGTTTATTCCTTAGTTTCAGTTAAAAACGTCCACTGAGGGTCAGAGGCATAATACAATTAAGGATTTTGTCAGCAAAAGTTTTCATTCGTGAAGATAAATCAAGAGTGATGATTATTACCTGACTCTGAGTTCTGAATATAAGCCTTGGTGATGATGCTCCAACTCCATGCTCATTTACAGCTTCAACGTAAATCTCGTAATCCGTGTTTGATTCCAAATCTTCAAGAATGTATGGCGAATGTACCTACAACAAAACACTTTGTTAGCATGGTTATCTTCAGAGAAGAAAAACATTTTTTTATCATTAGGATCAAAATTTAATTTTCCGATTTGTCAAACAATAAAGTATCAATGAAGTCAATGAAACATATAACTTACCCTCTCCAAAGCTCTGTAATCATCATCAGTTGACAATGACTTGTAATGCAAGTTGTAGAACTGGACAGTGTCAGCCAACGCTGCAGGCGGCGACCAATGCACAACTGCGTAGTCGGTATCAATATTGGTCAAATGAAGCTTGGACGGAGGCCCTGGGAGGACTCCATAGCCTTGTAGAAGGCAGTTGGTGTAAGAACTCATATGGCGAAGACACCTACAGACAAAACAGCTCTTGTAAATAGGTTTAATCTTAACAACATCCGTCAAATGAAAAGCTAACATTAGCAGACCTTGAATGAAAATAAACAAAGACATTATTACAATTGAGGACGTACCAAAACCATTAGTAATCTAAACAAACATCTATTTCCATATTCAGACAAATTCCAGCAGCGAACTATTTTCGGGCTAATTTAAATACTCCGAGAAGCTAGCTATTCAATGTTAAAGTCTACTGTAGTGAATTAAATAATTTAAAATAAATAGTTACTCACTTGAAATGATTGAAATCCAACGTCGTAATGTTTCCACTGCACAGAGGTAAGCAGTTCTCTGGCAATCCTCTTGCCCTACAGCAAGGAGTGTGGTCCATTCCATTGGCGAGGCACCCGAAGGTGACGCCGGCCCATGGAGCGCATATCATCAGATCTGTGACCTGTAGCTGAGGGTTACAAAACGTCCGTTGGGTGATGTGTGTTAGTCACAAATGAGGGGTGCAGTGCCAAATGGTTTTTTATGGATGTCAGAGAGTAAATACTTACATTATTTGTGAATGACATAAAATATACTCGAGTTAGTTGTGTATCTAGATGATTTTTTGTGAGAAAAAAATGGTATGTTTCATCAACACAATTTCAATATTACTACGGTTCACATAACGCTATCACAAATTAATTCACTGTTATTATAAGCCTCTGTGTAACACACCCTGCAATATTCCATACCCGCTGAACCCTGAACGTTTTACGAATAACAGCGAACGAATTCCCGATATGCTGCATTGTTTTAACGAAATTAATAAAGATAAATGTTTTTGATTTTAGTGCAAAATGGTTTGAGCTTTTTGTAAAACGTTGTTGTCAGCCCTTTTTCCGAATAAATGAATGACAAACTAATACATGAATGCTCGCTTGTTTTTATTTTTAGCTTATGTTGGTGCTTTTAGAGAACTGTTTTGAAAATATTTTTGCTTGTTTTAATGTTAACTAATATGGTGCAAAGATGTCGAAGTGCAGACACACAAACCATATTTCCAGATGCAAACTTACGCCAATCTCAAAGGTTTTGGTGGGGTCACAGAGCTTGTCCACGCATCCAAAGTAGTTGACTCCAGCTGAGACGCAGCATTGTCGGACATCTGGTAGTTCTGGCGCCGCTGCCACTTCTGTGGTCTTCATCTTCCCAGGGGTCAATGTGAGGGATCTAAAAATAAATGTTTTAGAAAAACCTTTCCTAATCTTCATCGGGAAACCTATCACAATGTTGGTTGTTAATATAACTGTGTACTTATCTAATGCTTTCAACTTTAGATATAATTTCTGCAAATACTGAGACGGATTATTTCTAATTTTAGCGGAATGCTACAGCTCAACGTAAGATATTGCCGTAACTCTTTTACTTGATACAAGTTGATAAGTCACGGTTTACGATTAAAAACAATAATTATACAACAGATTCAGATTTCTTTGTGTTTGTGATAGACAACAAACAGAATGAGACACGCTCATGATTACAAGAATAATTTAAAAACTTTTTAATTTTTAAAGACATTAAACCAGCCAGTTATACGCTACACCTAAAGAGAGCAATGAACTTTCAACATTCATTTTAATTTATATCTTATGACAAAAGTTTCGCGACAAAATGAGACGAAAGTTGCTCGACTATTAATAACTTAAGGTCACTAATCTGAAATTATTATCAAGAGAATATCATCGTAACTTTAAACAGAGACTCGCTAACTTATTTAAATCAATTACGGTTGGGAGCACAAATGAACAAACCAGACGTCAGGTCCGAAGGCGGAACGAATCATAAATGCTACGAGTATGACTATTTAATCGTCTTAGTTAATATTAGCTCACCTGATCGCGTAGCTTGGCAGGCTGGAGCCGTGAATATTATACGACGTCACTGTGACCTCGTACATTGTGAATGGGAGAAGATCGTTTAGCACCAGGAAGGTTTTGTTTGCTGGCACTTTGAAAGTCATGGGCTGACTCATTTTCATGTTCGTAGTGTTCTTCATGGAACTTTCGGATGGGTCTATGAGATGGGCGTCGAAGGACCTGAGTGTGGTCACGTTGACTATGAACTCTGTGACCGTGTCAGTGTTCTCGATTGGAGGGTTCCACGTAACGTTCAATTGTTTTTCGTTGAGTGGCTCGATTTCCACCTCCTCTGGCGGGCTTGGAAGTAATTCTAAAACAAAACAAGTTTTTTTAAGAATTAGAACTAAAAATGCATAACAATGGTACTAGACTGCTGCAGCAAAATCATTTCATCAGGGGCTATCCATAAATGTGACCAGCTGTGACAAGGCCGGGGGAGAGGGTCAAAAATCATGGAATTCCTGTGACGTAATTAATGGATGGCCCCTCATCTCCTTCTACATGAAGTGGAAGTTTGGAAGTGAGAAATTAGATAAGTAGGCTGTTGCCACTGTAACTCCTTAAAAAGTAAAGGTCTTTGCACGTAAGACTAGAGTCTCTCTCTATCCCGAATTCGCGAAACTGTGAGTATGCAAATTTCGACTGCAGCGGACACTGGAATTTCATGCCATTTCGGACGTAAAAAATGTTGTCCAAGATGGACTGCAGACCGCAGACTGCAACCGCAAACTGCATACAGGTGATCCGTCTGCTCGTTTGCCTCCTGTCACATAAAAAAAAACTCTATGAAATCTGCAACGCGGCGCGCGCCGCACCTGATAGCCGCAGTGGGGATTTCATAATAATTTGCTGTTTACGGTTGCAGTCTGCAGTCTGCAGTCCATCTTAGACCTGTACCTTTATGTACACGTACGTACCAATGCCCTCAACTATGCAAGCTAGCGTCTTCTCCATGTAAGACGCGCACGAGTAGTGCGTCTTGATGTTGTCGGTGACGGGCGTGAATTCGCCGCGGCACACGTCCTGGCAGATGTCGGGCACGCGCTCTTGCACGCAGCACGGCACGTGGTTGCGGCCGTCGGCCATGCATCTGGTTGTGGGAAATTATTAACCATATTTAGCCACGTGGTTTTGGCTGAGTAGAAAAGGACCACCCTCACTCTTTCCGAGGCCGTAAGGGGTAACAAAAAGGAGAAATACGAACACCAGGCCACCCATGTCCTCATGTAGGGGAGACTTCACGTTGTAGTAAGAGAAGTTGGCAAGATTTTTGTCAACCAACAGAGCTTATGTAAAAAATTACTTAATTTTAGACGCCAATTTGGAATTAATTGGTAAGCAAAGCACAAAAAGAACATTACGCTAAATACAAAATCATCTCGCAGTCAATTAAACCCAATCTATCAATTTTATTGGCATTCGAAGCCGACCAGTAGCGCCGCTACAGGCAGTATTCATTCAAATATATGGGAAAAACATTTTTCTTAAAAAAATACGTGGTTAGTTTAGATTTCTTGTGATTTGATGTTCAACCTTTAATCAATCATGTAGTAGCTTGGACAAAAAAATCTTCATTGTCACTAAAGGCCATGGAAGATTTCTGGTGAAAAGTCCTATCTGAACAGTAGGTAGGTACATACTTGACAATAGCAGGGAAGTCAGGCTGGCACGTCTCCGGGTCTTGCCCAGTGCCCTCCAGGATGGTCTGTATGCTGCAGAAGCCGAGGCAGGCCTTGCTGACGTTGGACGCCAGACAGCAGTCGGTGTAGTTGTGTGCCAACGCGATTGACGACGGCGTGGCCGCGTTGGCAGAGTAGCTGTCAGTTGTGTTCTGGTTCTCAGGAGGGGTTAGCCCTCGAGAGATTACTAGAAATAGAGCAATATTAGTTAGCACCTATACCGCTAAGAGCCAAAGCACACGATTAATTGCGGCGCCGCACTGCTAAGATTTCAGCGTTTGCCGTGTGCCACAGATATTTTTCTGTAGGACGTCGTATCGCCGTCGCAACTCGTCGTGTGCTTTGGCTCTAATATGATACATAATTTTCAATATAGTAAGTAAACAGAAATGGTTTATACCTAATTAAAAATCAAAAACTATTGAAAGTATTGAAACTAGCGCACGAACCGAGTTCTTAACACTCAGAACTAGGTATAATAACGTAACTATAAGTACGAGAAATTGTTAAAGTCATGAAAGTTACAGGTAGCAACTTTTTAAACCTCTTTAAAATTTAGGATGTCTAAAATATTTCAATTTCTCGTCTGGGGTATTTTTCACACAATTAAGAATGTCCCAAGTGGAAATGTTTTTTTAACTTTTCTTTCGTTCTTTTAAAATCACCTAGTATAAAAAGTATCATCTCACCTGTAAGCTTGTGGAAACTCCTGACAGGTGGTTCGGTGTTCAGCTCACACATGTACAGGCCAGCGTCGGAGGCCTTCACGGACTTGATGACCAGAGCCCACACGTCACCGCCCTTGGCTATGCCCGGGCCTTGGAAGGGCTCCTCAGCTGTTCAAAGAAGATGAGAGTTAGAAACCGTACAAGTTATGGGAGCACACCCCATCACACATAAAAATAACCACACAGTAAAAGCACATGGGAATTCCCATAAGCGCTTGAATAGCGCAAATATGTAGGTTTTAGGTGGGTCTTTCATGTTAGAGTCTTTTGGGGTCGGGAGTCGAGACGCTAGGTCAGTAGGGATCAGCTGCTCACCGTCGTACAGGGAATTAGCCTAGCGGCTGATTTACCGTACAGGTGATGGGGAGCTGGCGCATTTCTAGATCAATGAATCAGTTTGGCCACTCAGCGAAAAAATGCAGCTAACATTCTGGGCACCATGTTGCGTTGTTTGGACAGCGATTAAGGAATTTGTTTGTAAATATGTATTTAGTTTTTGTTGAATCCTTGAATCTATATTTTTATTTGACTCCACGTTAAGATCACATCTGTCGCTCATTGGTGAGGATAGATTTTTAGGTAGAGAGTTGAATAATGAGGGACCTTCAAAACAAAAACAAATTGTTCTGGTTGAGGATTGTTATTAGACTCCCTCGAGCGTGAAGATGTTATTCTTGTCTCGGAAATTTTAGGTGTTCACTTAAAGGTTTTCGTTTTTGGGTCTATTTTATAAATAAACGTGTATTACGAAGTTAACAATGTCTCAGCATCGCTCACACGTTATTTTAATTAGGGGTGTGGTTTGTGGAGAGTTAACACATAGTAGCATGAAAATTGGGAACACTGGTCGACGCTGTTGAACTAATTGGTACCGTCCCAATTAAATATCATACCTGTGGACACTTTCCAATTTATTAACTCCTCGTTTTAGATTTTAATTAATGTACAAATTGTCTACAGCAAAATATTTCTCAGAGAGGATTGCTCGGAATTACTAATCCGATTCTGAAAACTCTTTTATGGATAAAGAACTTGAGCCATTTAAGCTACATTAATGCCGAATATTTTGCGATCCTACACTAAAGTGGTCGAAGGCTTAGATGAAAATATGAATAGGTTTTTGCTTAAACCTATCCGTTTCTAGGTATTAATAATATTCACTGAGCTGTGAAACTATTTCGATGATTGAAAATTAGTGGTATTAGTGCCTGGAACGTAAATGTTCCAAAGAGTACGGTGGAGCGATTGTGACTATCAAAATTCAAGTTTAGTTCTTGGTAAAATAATTAAACTGACGTCAACTTATATTGGACAGCATGTACCTAGTTGATTTCACCTTAGTCAAAATATTGTGGTTTCACACACATGTACCTATATGTCACAAGGTTGGGTCACAAGTAGGTGTGCGAATGCGGTAGGTACCCTCTACTTCAAGCGCGTAAAGGCTCTATGAACACATAGACTGGGCTCACGCATTATTTTCACGATACGATATGCCTTTATTATCATTTATTATTCACTTAGTAGCTCTTACTAAATCGTGGCATCGTCCGCGTGATTGATACTAATAATCACAAAAAGATTTTATGGATTCTGTTTCAACATCTTTAACAATAATATGTGCGCCAATAAGTCTTCACGTTTCAACCTAACATGGTAATGCCTATCAGTTGAGAGGATTTTTGGGTCAGGTCAGTGATAATTTATGGAAAATGCAATATTTATATTATTCAATACGTCTTCAGTTGTAAATTAGTCTATCACTCTTATATCTCTACTCTTCTATTTCCCTTTCTTTAGTGAGTCTACTTCATATTATTTGCACTGTGATGTTGTGCCAACACGGCCGATTTTAATTATTCCCGAGGTGAGTAATTATCTTACATAAAGGGTTCAGTAATTACAATATCCTGCAAAGATCGTGTTTCTGAGGTGTCTGGAGAGGCATTGTGCCTCCATGCCTCCTTAATATGGGGATGTCGGGCGTTCTCGTAATTGAATGGTAAAACAAAGCAAGAAACAATATGAGGCAGGTAAATGATGATAACCGAAGGCATTCTTGGATTCGGATTCCTTTTCCCTTATGTTGCTACAATAGATTTTCTGTTAGGCTGAAATGTTGACTGACTAAAAAAATTAGAAAAAGAATCTACACTCAATACTCAATCTATGCGAATTGAAATGGTTAATTAAAACTTAGTTTTCAGATCTTCAGGTTCCTTTTTTTCGGCAAGTAACCACTTAATGTCTATTTTCTTTAATTTATCCCACGGTTCAAGCATACCTAATTATACACACTACACGCGTTCGGGGCGAGATCTACGGGATGAGAATTTGTTTACAGAAGGTTTTTGCCACTTCCACGGGTACTAATTAAAGTGTAATCTTTTTTACTTTTTGGACAACGTCGATTAAAGGCACGTTTAAACATTGAGGTAGATTTGACAAAGTTTCAAGCGTTTACTTTAGAAGATAATTTATTTTCATCAAATTCAAACAGCAATTTTGTTTTCATCCCGGAAAGCGTTCCATTCGGCCTTTTAATCTAAAACTAGATAGCTCCAGGCTTTAGCGTGTGTTTCAAACAGGAATAATTTAAAAGTTAATTCATTTTAGATTTACTGACTGATATATATACCTAGACTTGTGAAAATTTTGTTAAATTGTGAACTTATTTATTTAGATTTTTCGATGCATATTTTTATAGTCTACGAGTAATATTACTTGTAAGTGATAATGAGATATTGATGAGATTATATCAGTTCTTAAAAAACTTTCAGGTCAGCCAGAAGTCAACAGTTGCAGGTCCCTGGACCTTCACTGGCCCCTGGCCCCCAGTACCAAGCAAGTCATAAGCGCGTCCTCCCCACTCCAGGCAGAATCCGGTTTGGATGAAGGACGCAGGACGTTTCTTTAGTTATTAAGTAGCACTTACAGTCATCATGGAGGATGTGTATGCGGTCGTCTCTCGTGACCCTGACGCCGCCCGCAGTCAGCAGCTGCAGGTCCCTGGACCTCCTCCACAGCACGGGCCGGCCCCTGGCCCCCAGCACAACACACGTAAGCACGCTTATTTCTTATGGTAGGTACACTTACAATCATCATGGAGGACGTGTATGCGGTCATCTCTCGTGACTCTGACACCGCCCGCAGTCAGCAGCTGCAGGTCCCTGGACCTCCGCCACAGCACGGGCCGGCCCCTGGCCCCCAGCACCACACACGTCAGCAGCGCATCCTCCCCACTCCTGACCGAAACCCCACCAGCTGGGGCTCGCATCCACGCCTCTTTAGGCTCCTCATCTTCTTGAGAACTGCCAGTGGACGTGCTTGCGCTTTCCACCGATTCGTTTTTCAATTCTGTGGACAAGGAGAGAGCTGGGTGAGTTTATTTTGTTTATTGTTTCATATTTTCGATCAGTTACAAGTAATGGACACAAAATCACAACTAATATCACACTAATATTATACAGGCGAAAGTGTGTATGTTTGTTACTTCTTCACGTCTAAACGGCTTAGGCGATTTTAATAAAATTTGGTCTGGAGTTAGCTGACACCCTCGATTAACACATAGGCTACGTTTTACCGCGGTTTACACCGCGGGGCACAGCTAGTAGGTAATAAAAAAAAGAAGTCAAGAAAAAACTCCCATCAGAAGCAATCAATTTTGGCCTGAAAAAAAAATCGAAAGGTTAACTGAATTTTCACTCTTCTCTTTTTGAATTAAGTATTTTATAAACAACACAAAGGAAATACCTACTTCGTTAATTTATTTGAGGCTTGAAACAAATTAACGAGGTGTTCCAAGAATCAGAGCGTAATTTTATAACTTATCTACGACTTTATTTACTTTAACAGCGAACAATATTTTTATAATTGATTTGGTGTAAGAAAACGAGCGTCAATAAATTGCTGAAGGGCTTTATTATAAGGTATTCTTGTAAAAGACAAGTTTTTTTGTAGCATACCTAGTTTGAGTTTTTTATACGATTTGTACTTTCAAATAGAGCATTCCATGCACAGACTTTTAATGTAGGTACTCAAGTAGTTGTAGTTGGTATTGCCGCAAATACCTATTTAAATAAGGCTGATGTGATGTTACGTTGGCTGGCTACATAATTTTACTTAAACAAAGTTTGTCACGCTTAGGATGAAGTTCAATGCAGCTTTTAGCTCCAAAACTGCAGATGTCGACTTTCATCAAACTCTAGCACTAAATTATAATGTTTAGCCAAGTTATTAGCTTTACATACATTATCATAAACAATACATTTTCGAACATGTAAATTCTGCTGACAGCTTGACGCTGAAACGCTGTTGATAATTCAATCTACATCGTTCTGCAAAATTCGTCCGTGCTATAAAAGTCGAAGCCTGTCGAAAAATGGATTGCAAAAGAACGAATTCATTTCGTTATTCTGCAGAAGTTTGTTAAAATAAAAGTTGTTTATTTCTGGGAACAAAACGGACGGCAATTATTTTTAAATAATCCACTTATATTTTGACGGGGAAACAATGAGGGGCTTTTGGAAGGTGAATGCAAAAAGGTTAGATGTAGCGTTAAAAAGTACCCCTAAAATTATAGGCGACATTTTTGCATTGTGAAATTAACAATTTAACAAATAAGGCTTAGGTCTTAGGTTAGTACGTACTAACGATTAGCACGTATTGTTATTTAGTAAATCTATAATATAGGTAACCATTTATTAAATTAAACAATTGAATTGTGTAACATAAGAAATTGCGGTTCAATGTCTCATAGTTAAATAAAAACACAATATTTTTTGAAATTGTCTTTTACTACCAAATATTATGTACTCGTACTTATGTAGGTAAGTTTTGCTTTAAAACGTTTTCAAAATAGACGACACTCAGACAAATTAATTCAATTCGGTCCAGACGTTCAATAGATGCAGGATTTTATTATAACAAGCTGTTTGTATTACCAGAGTTGTTTAACATTAAATACGATTAATATCTTCTCATAATATTCCGTTGGCAAGATCTTATCTTTTGGTACGAGGAAAATTAAATTGAATGCAATTATACTGTGAATTAAGTTCTAAAATAAGTACAATTTAAAAAAGATGCTTTAGGAATTCCAGTAAATGTGTGTTAATTTATAAATGAACTAGCGGCTGTCTGCGACTTCGTACACGTGGACCCAATTTTACACCCTTAGGGGCGGAGTTTCTTAAAATCCGTTCTTAGCGGATATCTACACCCTATAAAGACCCTACCTGACTTTCAAGTTTGAAGGTGTTACTGTTTAGTGAGTAGTATCAGTATTATTGCGCGTTTATTTATATTCAATTGAGAGTGTTATTATTTTAGAAGTAGCTTAAAAAACCGCTCGCTTACAAAAAATCACGTCACGGATTCAATAAAGCTCCATATCTGAATCCTTCCACTCACAATATTGCACTTAGTAGGTTTTGTATCGAAAACCGTTAACCTGACCGCGGCCACCTCTGATGGAGGTCTCCTGTACCCTTGGCAGCTCGCATCGCGAATATAAATGTCAGAAAGGCGAGAAAAGGGGTGCGGTGCCAGTTATAGCGGGTTTTACTGTAGATTAATAACGGGGGATGTAACATCTTTAGTCCTACTTGATGGAGGCACCTTATTGGTTTATTTGTCACCCAACAGCTACATGTGGGAGTAGGTAAATAGCTATTATATTATGAGGAATGAATTAGAGAAACGAGATAGCAACCGAAACGTCAAACCGTGAGTACATGTGTAACTCATACATATAAAAATGTCGCGTTGAGACCCGTGTCTCTGTTTTACTCGTAGTTGAAATGGAAAGCGGAAGTTTAAAATTTTACTAACGAGAAACAGGCATTTATTATAAGCGTGTGTGTCTTTGCTGAAATATGATTGTGTTAGGAGCAGGAGTCAAAACAGTCCATATTTTGTGTTTGAATCGCTTAGTTGAATACAGTTTGGTTATAGGTTCTGTTAACTTTGGGGTAATTGATGATCTCATGAATACTTTATTTCTACCTCTTTGACGACTGATAGCGTTTAATTTTATTCATATATGGGTGTCACGACAGCCATGGCTATGGCTGCAGCTTTCGTCCTCTAGCAGGTATGTGAAATGCACTTTACTCACTTTAAAAATGAACAAAACTATATTTATTTTTATACTACTGCTAGACGCGTCCACGCCCCACCTCATTGCGATTCCGCGCTCGCCCAGGGCGGGCGGATAAAGAAATCAACGCAAATTGAGCATCCAGCCGCTTCCATTTCCCACATATTTCGCCCGATGAATCAATCTCTATGATAACAGCCGGCCCGAGTTTGTTAAGAAGTTTATAAGGCACACTAAGGTTGTATACAGTAGGTTGAGTAGATATAATAGTAGGTAGATGTTGCGGGAATTTGAGAGACCAAAAAGAAACAAAGGTTGTTACATAGCGACGAGGCAGTTAGATGCATTTTAAAGCTTCAGCCAAATCAACGCGTGCAGCTTGCGTAGGCGATGGCAATGGCGATGGCGATTACTGCGTGAGCATAGATCGCCGCGACCAACAGGTCGCGTTGATGTGTACTCATCGCTACAAATTCATACACGACATCGCCATCGCTATCGCGCACGTAGGTTGCACGCGTTGGTTTGGTCGAACCTTAAGTTGTATCAGACATCTTCAGCAGAAATATTTAGTCAATCGACTAGTACTCTCTACGTGTAAAAGCTTTGTTCGTTGTGTTCGGATGTTTGTGTTTTTTCAAAGACCGGATGAACTGGGAACAAGCCTACCGTGTTTCCCCGAGCTGTCTGCATATTCCAGTTATTTACTACCCCCGCCTTACGTGAGCGGGTTAGAGATTTGCATCTGTATTCAATTTTGCGTAATCGAATGAAAACTAGAATCGCCGATAAAGTGCTCCTTGAATTTTTGATTCGTTTTCGATTTTAACTCGAGCAAATATTTGATTTGGTGAAGCGGACGGATCGTTTATGTTGCTGAGTTTATTTACTGCTTCATTTATATGTTTAGAATGAAATATTTTAAGGTTTTAGGAATTTGCAGTTCACCGCTACTGGACATAAGCCAAAGAAAACGATCTCTCGCTTTTTTCTTTCAGCTTTTGTCAGCTATCTTCTTGATATCATCAATCTTTTAGTTGGAAACGTGATATGTAAGGAAAATTAATTTGACAAAATTCCAATAACAAACAATATTAACATCATTCTACCAAGAAATTGTATCTAAAAAACATAAATGCTTAATTTAAGCGGGAATACAAATAAGTATTTATGTTTTATGAGCCTGAAAACTCGTGTAGAGCAAAATAAAAAGCTGGTGTAAAAATAAAACGGGAAAATTCCGACGCGTCTAAGGATCCCCGCATGAGTAGCACGACACACCCCAGGAAGAGGTATTTGAGAAGGAATTTCTGGGAAAAAATACCAGCGAACAAATATTTTGTTTATTTAGTAGAGCAAGAAAGCTTAACACGCCATAACATTAGAATAATCCTGTTCAAGGGAATGTGGCGGGAAACTGAATTTAAGACTAGCGAAAACATTTCAACATAGGTACAAGATATTTTAATACAAAAGGAACTTAAGTTTTTTATTTCATAAATTACGAGTAACTCCAGTTTCAATACGTTTTGTAAAAAAAAATATATTACCATTACTATTCCTGCGTCAATTTGTTTTTAAGAAAGGTCTAAAATTGTTTTGTGATGCATTGCATTGTTAACTTGAACAGTGTGCTGTAACGATTTACTTATCAACCGACTTCAAAAAAGGAGGAGGTTCTCAATTCGACCCGTATGTTTTTTTTTTTCTATGTTTGTTACGCGATAACTCCGCCAATTATGAACCGATTTGAACAAATCTTTTTTCGGCGTATAGGTAATACCTCAAGGGTGGTCCCATTTAAATTTAATAATAGAAAAAACAACCCCCAAGGGTGGAAAATTGGGGATGAACTTTTTTATACGCAATATCTCCGCCGATTATAAATCAATTTGAACGATTGTTTTTTTGTTGAATAGGTATTATCAAAAGGGTGGTTTCATGCGAATTTGAAGAAAATATTTCACCCTCAAGGGTGGAAAATTGGGGATGAACTTTTTTATACGCAATATTTTTAATTTTCAGTTTTTTTTTGTGTTCACGCATTTGAAGTCGGTTTTATTTTTTTAAAAAGTTAATTATTTTATCGTGTAGGTTAAATATTATTTAAATGATACTCAAGACTGGTTTCAACATTGTGAAAGAGTTAGTAATATTTTTCTATGTAGAAGCGGCTATAAGACCTCATTCTACCAAGTATTTACATGTTAAGCATGACAAACAATGTCCTCATATTTTTCTAGCACGAGATTGCAGC